ACCTGAACATAATCAAAGCCTTACATGACAAACCCATAGCTAACAACATAGAGTACTCAACAGGGAAAAGCTAAAAGAATTTTCCTTAAGATCTGGAACAAGACAGGAATGTTCACTTTCACTTTTTATTCAATACAGTATTGGAAGTCCTAGCCACAGCAATCAGGCAAGAAAAAGAAATAAAAGGCATCCAAATTAGAAAGGAAGAAGCAACACTGTCATTATTTGCAGATAACAGAATACTATATAGAGAGAACCCTAAAAATTCCACTGCAAAAGTACTAGAACTGATGAGTGAATTCAGTAAAGTAGCAGGATGCAAAATTAATATTCAGAAATTGGTTGTATTTTTATATACCAATAGTGAGTTATCAGAAAGAAAAATTAAGAAAACAATCATATTTACAATAGCATAAAAAAATACCTAGGAATAAACTTAACCATGGCAGTAAAAGACCTGTGCTCAGAAAATTATAAGATATTGAAGAGAGAAATTGAAGATACAGATAAGTGAAAGTGTATATATTTTGCTCATGCATAGGAAAAATTAATATCACTAAAATGTTCACACTACCCCAACAATCTATTGGTTCAATGAAATCCCTATTAAGATACCAATGGTGTTTTTTTACAGAATTAGAACAAATAATCCAAAAATTTATATGGGGGGCCACAAAGACCCCAACTAGCTACAGCAATATTCAGAAAGAACAAAGTTAGAGGTATCACACTACCTGATATTTAACTATACTAAAAGGTTATAGTAATTAAAACAGCATAGTCCTGGCATAAAAACAGATATGTAAATTTCACAGCCCAGTAATAAACCCACATTTATATGGTCAATTAATATTTGACAAAAAATGCAAGAACATACAATGGGGCAAGAACAGTCTATTCAATAAATGGTGCTGGGAAAAATGGACAGGTACATGTAAAAATATACAATATACAAGAATAAACTCAAAGTGGATTAAAGACTTAAATGTTAGACTCAAAACCATAAAACTCCTAAAAGAAAACATAGGCAGTAAAATCTCAGACATTTCTTCTAGGAATATATATATTTTGATATATCTCCTTGGGCAAGGGAAATAAAAAATAAACAAATGCTTATAAACAAATGCAAACTAAAAATTCCAAAAATTTTTAGTTTGATATAGTAAAGGAAAGGAAACCATTAACAAAGTGAAACGATGACTCACTGAATGGGAGAAGATATTCACTAATGATACATATGATAAGGGGTTAATATACAAAATTTATAAAGAACTCATACAGCTATGCAATGGAATATTTCTAAGCCATAAAAAAGAATAAAATAATCATATGTGACAACGTGGATGGAGCTAGAGGGTATTATGCTAAATGAAATAAGTCAGGCAGAGAAAGGTTAAGTACCATATGATTTTATTTATATGTAGAATCTAAAGAACAAAATAAACAAACAAAATAGAAACAGAATCATGGATGCAGAAACACACTGATGGTTGCTAGATGGGAGAAGGCATGGAGAACTGCTTGAAAAAGATGAAGAAATCAAGAAATACTAATTAATAGTTACAGAATAGTCATGGGATGTAAAGTATGGCATAAGCAATATAATCAATAATATTGTAATAACTATGTATGGTGCCAGGTGGGTACTTGAATTATCAGGGAGATCGTCTCATAAATTATATAATTATCTGACCACTATGCTCTATACCTGAAACTAATATAAAACAATATTGAATGTCAACTGTAATTGAAAAATGAAATTAAAAAAATTATCAAAGGGCAGCTTCATTACTCCCTAAATCCTACTTTAAAAGCAATTAATTATATTTCTTAATATTGTGACCACATTCTCACTGTGTATTGGGAGGACAGAAGTATACTACAATGTATTTACAATTGTGTTTAGTTTTTTCTGAGACAGTAGTAAAATATTCTTTTCTAAAGAAGGCCATGCAGTAGCAGGTATCAGTACTTCATTTCTTTTTATGGATGAATAATATTCCATTGTATGGACAGATCACATTTTGTTTCTCCATTATCATATGATAAACATTTGCATTATTTCTACTTTCTGGCTATTTTGAATAATGCTGCTATGAACAAGTATTGTGCCTTTACCCGAGCTTTACAGAAAAATTAATTTAAATTTGTATATATGAGAATGGTGAACTATGAATGGTAAAGAAAACAGACAAAGAAGTTATAATATAAAAGTCCATTCTTTTAACAAGTAGTTTTTGAACACCTACAGCTAGGCATATTTCCAGGCACAATGGTGAACAACAATTCCATGTGAGCAGTCAACAATGGCACATTAACTCATCCATAATGAATTTTAAAAATCTTCACTAGACTTAGTTATTCATTGAAGAAGAATTTAAGGAGATGTTATTCTGTAGGTACTGAATGAAGATCAACTCAATCCTAGGAAATGAATTCTTATAAGATTCTCTGTCATTATAAGTTAATTATATTGTAATCAGTCTGGGGAAAATTGTAAACAAACCAAAGTTACCACTAATTTTCATAATGATTTTTTGAGATTTTAAGATATATTTTCAGTATGGGAATTATATTTTAAATGAATATTTTTTCTCTTCCTTTTCTTGTCTACCTTTTTCTCTTTTGAAATAGTTTTAAAAAGATAAAGTAAAAATATGCAAAACCTGAAGTTTTAAAGGTCTTATTCTGAATACTTTCAGCAGTGTTCCTATATTGTCATCGCACTCAGCTGAAGCACATGGATGAGACCGAATTTATTTCATAGTGTAAGGAGTACTGAAGGGGACCAAAGTTTTTCCACTATAAGCTGCCTTCCATGAAGATGATTTTAAGCTTGTTATTAAGACACAAAAGACTCAGAAGAATCTATGCACCTCTCCCCTTTCCAGCCCAAGAGATTCAGATGGGAAAACCTGCTTCAGGAACCATAGCATAACTGTTAGACAAGAAGACTCCAAGCAGGAGCCTGTCCATTATATCTCCCCAATCCATGACTCCCTGCTCTGCTTTCATACTTTGTCCACAGTATCACATATGCCCACTTTTGCCTCAGTGTCTTCGGAATTTTCATGCTTTGTGAATTTCCCATGTTCACAGATTAGAATTTTGATTTTTTTAAAAGATTTTATTTATTTATCTTTAGAGGGGAAGGGAAGGAGAGAGGGAGAGAAACATCAATGTATGGTTGCCTTTTGTGCGCCCCCTGCTGGGAAATGGCCTGCAGGGAACCGGCCTGCAACCCAGGCATGTGCCCTGACTGGGAATCGAACTGGGATTGTCTGGTTCGGAGGCCCACACTCAATCCACTGAGCTACACCAGCCAGGGCTAAGAATTTTGATTTTCTACTGTTAATCTGTCTCTTTTTATTTGATTACAAGCCCAGCTAAAAGAACCTGGAAGGTGGGAGGAAAAGTATTTTTCTTTAGTTCCCATGTATTTACTTCTATCCAGCAATCATTAAACACTTTTAAATAGAGTCTCTGTTTCTCTGTGGTTTTTTACCCTTTTCGTATTAAATAGAAAGCCTGTGAAATTAGGTAGATTCAAATGATCAGCAGTCTCCAAATTAATGTCACTGAGGTGTCCAAGTTAAAATTTACAAGCCAGTTGCAAAAGGGAGCCTCAATTAAAATTCATTTAAAGTGCTTAAGTAGCCCTGGCTGGTGAGGTTTAGTGGATTGAATGCCTGCCTGTGAACCACAGAGTTGCAGGCTCCATTCCCAGTCAGGGCACATGCCTGTAGGCAAGGTTGCCAGTAGGGGGCGTGTGAGAGGCAACCACACATTGATGTTTCCCTCCCTTCATCTTTGTCTAAAAATACCCTGACCCAAGGTACCCCAGGAGGCGCTCTGCCTTCTGTTAATTCTTCATACAGTAGTCAGAGTGACCCTGACAACCTCATTCATGGAGCTGATGGGCATTCATTGCATTTGGAAGAAAATCTAAGTTCCTTGGCATGGCCTTCAACACTTGGGAGGGTCAGGCAGCGGCAACCTTGTTCACCAGTTTATGGCTACTCCTCAAACACCTATCTGCTTCCACAGTGGCTTCCTGTCATGCCTGGGACACACCCAGTGCCTCCTCCTTGGGCCCTTGCCATTGGCCCCTCTCAGTGCCAGTCACAAGGTGATGTCTGATTGCCTATGGATGAGAAAGGGCTGGGGATGGCCACACAACTGCTTTCTCCTTGAAATTGGTATTTACAGTATAGATCCATTAGTTCCAAATATTGTGAATTCTTTTATGCTTATGGAGTCTTTTCTATGTGTATAAATTTTTAGAATTTATGAACTGAAAATGTAAAAGTGCTGATTAATTGCTGCCCAAAGAGTCATATAAAACTAGTTAAATATTTTTGTTGTCAAAAGAGCAAATATTTCCAGAACTTCTTGATTAACATTTTCCTGGGGGAAAATTATTCTCTAATAGTTATAGAATGAATCTAAAATATCAATAAATAATCAGCCACCTTCAGCACTAAGGCCTTTTTTAAATTTCTTATTTCTCTTCATTACATTTTTCATAAAATATTTACTTATTATATTAAGTACCATCTACTTTCAAGGTCCTAATTTAATTCTGTGTATCACTTATTACTTTAAGTAAGAGCTGGGACTTGATTGCAGTTTTTGATATTATTTTAATTTGGGGTCCCTGCTACAAAATTAAAATAGAATAATAAATATTTAGTTACATTATAATTTACAGTATGCCTATGACACTGTATAAGCAAAAAAGAATAGAACTGAAAACAATGATCAGGATGAAATGAATACAACAGGCTTCTGATTCTTCCCTGAAACAGTGATTCCTATTGGATTTTCAATTTTCCATCTACTAAACATGCTTCATTTTAAAAGTTGATTTCTGTAGTGAGATGGTAATTATTTGTTCCTTGCATTCAAGAGATGTCAGTAACCCTGGGAGAGTAGCACCAGCGTGCGTGCATTCAGTCCTATATTCAAAGAGGCCTGGGCCTGGCCCAGAGCAGACTTACTATTGTGCGCAGTCGATCAGCTGGTATTCATTTGACCTCTCAAAGCATGCTTTCACGCCTTCATCATCCCAAAGTTTCTTCACATGATCAAAGAATTCCTAAAATTTGAAAATGTTATAAATAAGAAAATGCAGGTGTTATAAACCTTCAAAAAATTAAAAGTAAAAAGAAACTGCCCTTCGAAGTTTACAGGTAGCACATGTATTATTTTCTTTGTGGAAGTCTATTTTACACATGGTAAAATACACATCTTGCATTCTGTGTAATGTAAAATGGATGCATATGTGTTATCATCATGAAAATTAAGCTGTCAATCATCTTCATCATTTCAGAAAGTTCCCCAAAATAAAACTGCAAGATAGAAGTTAAGGACATTCATCAACCAGAAGTACAACTAAATAACAATTTTAAAGTTTTTATTATTCAATACTTTTAACTAGTGGAACTGCCACTTCAGCAATGAAAAAAATGCCTATTTTATTGGTAAGTTCTGTTTTAGCTGCTTTAAATTTTCTATGTAAGCCATGATTATGAATAAACATAGTTGAACAGGTAGGTTAAAATTTCCCCAGAAGCACTAGGCAGTTAAGAATGAGACCTTTAAAATCACACTCTTTATGGATAGTAATTTATTTGTTTTTGGCACTAAAGAATAAAAAAACTATGAGTTAAGTGTGAACTATGATTGTTGGTTCATTCAATTCTGTGCAAGCACAGTACTTAGTTTCGTCCATTATAATAAGGAGCATACTTGAAGCAAAAACTTTCCTTATTGAAAAGTAAAAGGTGGCTTTAGACTTCCGCCAAGATGGAGACGTAGGTGGAGGAACCACCTTGCCTCTGTGCACAACCAAATCTAAGAACAACTATTTTTAACAGCAGTCACAACCAAGCCACAGGTAAAATCGACAATACGGAGTCCAAAGGACAACTAGATACTCAGCTGGACCGGAATGAGGAGCGAAGCCAGCAGTGGAACAGGTTAGCAAGAAAAAATTCCCGGGTGGTGCGCGGTGAGTGTGCAAGCAGCCGAAAGCGCTGATCGAGAGCGAGCTAGCTACGGGAGCGCACAGGGAAGAGGCGCGGCGGGCTGTCTGCAGTCGGTCGCGCACCTGCAGGTTGGTCGCGCACCTGCGTGCGGAGAAACCAGTGAGAAGGGAAGCCTGCTCGGGGCAGCAGGCTCGCACAATTCCGATTGGATAAACAAGCCCTGGGCGAGTGGTGTGACTGGACGGGCTGGGCTAGCGGAGAGGACCACCATTGCTCCCTCTCTGACCACGCCCCCACACACAGCATCACAAACCAGCGACCTGGGTCTCCCCATCCTGGTAAACAACTAAGGCTTCGCTCTGCTTACTTAACAGCACGAATAGACCAAAAATGGCTCTAGGACAACTTAGAGCCCCAGAACCGATAGATCTAAGCGATGAAGAAATAGCCAGTCTTTCAGATGCACAGTTCAAAACACTGGTTATCAGGATCCTTACAGAACTGGTTGATTTTAGTCACAAATTAGAGAAACATATGGAAGCTAAACTAATTGAAATGAAGGGAAATACACAGGAAACCAATAGCAATGGAAAGAAAATTGGGACTCAAACCAAGGGAGTGGACCAGAAGGAAGCAAAAAATGATCAAACAGAAAAAGAATGAAGAAATAAGAATTCAGAAAAATGAAGAGAAGCTTAGGAACCTCCAGGACATCTTTAAACGTTCCAACATCCGAATTATAGGGGTACCAGAAGGGGGAAAGGCACAGCCACCAGTGGAAAACTTATTTGAACAAATAATAAAGGAGAATTTCCCCAATTTGGCAAAGGAAATAGACTTCCAAGAAATCCAGGAAGCTCAGAGAGTCCCAAAGAAGTTGGACCCAAGAAGGAACACACCAAGGCACATCATAATTACATTAGCCAAGATTAAAATGAAGGAGAGAATCCTACAAGCAGCAAGAGATAAGGGGACAGTCACCTACAAAGGAGTTCCCATCAGACTGTCAGCTGATTTCTCAAAAGAGACCTTACAGGCAAGAAGGGGCTGGAAAGAGGTATTTTCCAAGTCATGAAAACCAAAGATCTACAACCAAGATTGCTCTACCCAGCAAAGTTTTCATTTAGAATGGAAGGACAGATAAAGTGCTTCTCAGATAAGACCAAATTCAAGGAGTTCATCATCACCAAGCCCTTATTATATGAAATGTTAAAGGGACTTACCTAAAAAAAAGAAGATAAAAAAGATGAATGGTGAAAGGACAGCAAACTCACAGTTATTAAGAACCACACCTAAAACAAAAGCAAACTAAGAGGACAGCTAGATCAGGAGCAGAACCATAGAAATGAAGATCTCAAGGAGGGTTAGCAACAGGGGAGTGGGAGGAGGGGAAGGGGGGAGAAGGTACAGAAAATAAGTAGCATAGACAGTAGATAGAAAATAGGGGGAGGGTAAGAATAACAGGGGAAATACAGAATCTAAAAAATTTGAGACACGTGTTCATGAACTAAAGGGGGAAATGGTGGTGGAGGGGTATGCAGGGTGGAGGGGAATGGAGGGGGGAATAGAGCAAATGTAATGGCATAATCAATAAAACAAGTTAAAAAAAATGACAATGTTGACTATTAAAAAAAAAAGGTGGCTTTAGGAATTCATATTGCCAAAATTACCCAAACTAACTTAATACTGTTATGAAAGCAAATTCCTATATATTAGTTAATTTTTCATAAGTATAAATTTCCATAAAACACTTTGTTACAATATTTACAGCTCTTTCCACATCAGTCATTTGTCCCTCATGGCAACCCCAGAAGCACCCATTCAGTCTTTGCACGGAAGTGTCTGGGGTTACTTGGCCAGAAAGCAGCTGAGGTCTCTCTCTCTTTTTTTTTGGTATATTTTATTGATTATGTTATTACAGTTGTATCATTTTTCTCCCCTTTATCACCCTCCACTCTGCAACCCCCTCCCATCATTATTGCCCCCCTCCTTAGTTCATGTCCATGGGTCATACATATAAGTTCATTGGCTTCTCCATTTTTCATACTATCCTTAACTTCCCCCTGTCTATTTTGTACCTACCATTTATGCTTCTAATTCCCTGTACCTTTTCCCCCTGTCTCTCCCATCCCCATTGATAATCCTCCATGTGATCTCCATTTCTGTGATTCTGTTCCTGTTCTAGTTGTTTGCTTAGGTTTTCTTTTTTGTTGTTGTTCAGTTGTTGATAGTTGTGGGTTTGTTGTCATTCTACTGTTCATGTTTTTTTTTATCTTCTTTTTCTTAGATAAGTCCTGTTAGCGTTTCATATAATAAGGGCTTGGTGATGGTGAACTCCTTCAACTTGACCTTATCTGGGAAGCACTTGATCTGCCCTTCCATTCTAAATGATAGCTTTGCTGGATTGAGTAATCTTGGATGAAGGCCCTTGTCTTTCATGACTTGAAATACTTCTTTCCAGCCCCTTCTTGCCTGTAAGGTTTCTTTTAAGATATGAGCTGATAGTCTTATGGGAACCCCTTTGTAGGTAACTGTCTCCTTTTCTCTTGCTGCTTTTAAAATTCTCTACTTATCTTTAATCTTGGGTAATATAATTATGATGTGTTTCAGTGTGCTTCTCCTTAGATCCAATTTCTTTGGGAATCTCTGAGCTCCCTGGACTTCCTAGAAGTCTATTTTCTTTATCATATTGGGGAAGTTTTCCTTCATTTCTTTTTTCAAGTAAGTTTTCAATTTCTTGCTCTTCCTCTTCTCCTTCTGGCACCCCTATGATTCAGATGTTGGAAGGTTTAAAGTTGTTCCAGAGGTTTCTAAGCCTCACCTTATTTTTTTTTGAATTCTTGTTTCTTAATTCTGTTTTGGTTGAATGTTTCTTTCTTCCTTCTGCTCCAAACTGTTGATCTGAGTCCTGGTTTCCTTCCCTTCACTGTTGATTCCCTGTATATCTTTACTTCACGTTGCATAGCATTCACTTTCTCCTCTATTGTGGGACCATATTCAACCAATTCTGTGAGCATCCTGGTCACTGGTGTTTTAAACTCTGTATCTGATAGGTTGGCTATCTACTCACTGCTTAGTTCTTTTTCTACATTTCTTTGTCTTGGCACACCTGTGACATTGTAAGGGGTGGAGCCTTAGATATTTGCTAGGGCTAGGTAACCCACCTTGCTGTGTTGTGGCATTGTATGTGGGGGAGAGGTCTGAGAGGGAATAATGCCACTAGCCTGCTTTTAGTCACTTCCCCACTACCAAGAAGCAAATTGGGCCCTTTTGTTGCTGGTTTCCGATTTGTGGTTTTGTGTATGTTCTAGGACTCCATGGATTTTCCCAATGAACTCTCCTGTGAGGCTAGGAGTCTCCCCTACTGCCACAACTCCTACAGGTTTTACAGCCAGAGGTTTTGAGGCTTTAGTTCCCTGGTGCTGGAACCCTGGGTTGCGAGGTCTTTCTCACTCCCCAGTTGTTTCTCCCAGCTTATTTGCACATGAATGTGGGACTACCTGGTCTGCCAGCTACCACCCTGTCAGTGCGTCCAGCAGCTGAGGTCTTTATGTTCCTTACAGCTGCCACGATTCCTAAGAGTCAGCATGGAGTCTTTGGAGGAAAAAAAAATTAAGAGTTGCTATTTTTCTTAGAGATTTACAATTCCATACAAAGGCATATCCAAGTATTGTGGGGACTGATGATTATACAATTTGGGGTACTCTTTGTAAAATGAAAAATATAATTAAGAATATAAATTAGATATAACACCTTGGAAGGAGGAGCAGGAGTGAGGGGCCCCAAGTTTAACCTTTATTATGTTCTAGTATGTCTAATTCTGACTTCCCAGAATTAGGAACAACCTTTAAAGTTATGCCATATGTCTCTGCATCTGTTGTCTGTCAGTCTGTCTGTTACCATTATCAACAAATCCAAACTGTCCACAGTTAACAATGAATGGACAATGTCCACATGAAGGAGAATAGCTGAACCCCTCAGTTTATATTAACTCCCTAGATTTTTGTTTCTTTTTGGAATCTCCCACTGCTACCTCATCAGCCTAGTGGAATTTGTAGGCTTCCTGAAAAATATTTCCTTCTAAGAGCCATGTGAAGACACATGCATG